TGGTCAGGCCTTGGCAGGGGCTGCCCAGGGAGGTGGTGGATTCGCCATCCCTGAAGGTGTCCAAGGAAGGACTGGAGTGGCACTGAGTGCTCTGGGCTGGGGGATAAGGTGGGATTGGGCACAGCTTGGACTCAAAGATCCTGGAGGTCTTTTCCAACCTGAATGATTCCCTGAGTGTGTTCCTGCCCATTAACCCTCCTTTAACTGGGATCAGTGCTGTCCCTGTTCCAGGGAAGGGAGGAGGGGGATTCGGGCTCTGCTCCCAGGGAACAAGGGACAGGAGGAGAGGGAATGGCCTTAAACTGCACCAGAAGAGGTTTAGTTTGGATATTGGGGAAAATTTCTTCATGGAAAGGGGTGTCCAGCCCTGGCAAAGCTGCCCAGGGCAGTGGTGGATCCCCATCCCTGGAGGGATTTAAAATCCCTGTGGATGTGGCACTTGGGGACAGGGGTCAGTGGTGGCCTTGGCAGTGCTGGGGGAATGGTTGGACTGATGATCTCAGAGGGCTTCCCCCCAAAAAAAAACGATTCCATGATAATTTTATCACTCAGATGCAGAAATCAGACACCAGAAAGGACGGAAAGGCATCAGTTCCCATTTTTCCTCGCTAATTTGGTAATACAAGAAGCCCTTCCACCCTCCCTGGGTGTTACATCTCCTACTCTGCAAGGAAAAGCTGCTGCACCCTAAGAAAACAGAACTCAGGCCCTTTACTACAATCCTCACAAGGTCCTAAACTCCAACACTGACTTTAAAACCTCCAGGGTAGAAAAAACAACCGCAAGGATCTGTTTACAAAATTCAGATTTTAAATGTGCCCACATCCACTCCTGTGTGTTTATACCAAGTATTTCGGGCTTGATTCAAACTCCACTTGTTCACAACACAAATTTTTCCCTCACAAAAAAAAAAAATGAAGCAACGACAAGGATGAAGAGCTCACAGAAAAAAACTTGCTTCTAAGGGAAATATTCTGTATAAAAGGATTCTGCCTATTCAGTTACTCCCCACTGTTTCTGGGAGGACCTGAAAAGCAGAAAACCGACACAGGAAAATCAGACAGCGCTCGATGGTAT